GAAACTATAACTAGTAACTGTCGTAAAGTTACAGGTCCATAATATGAAACACTGTGGTGGTATAATACCCAACGTATGTAATATTACTTTTGCCCTACCCCCCCCCCCCCCCTGTAGCTTTTCTGGGTTATCCGTGGTCCTTAGGGGCGGCCTGAGTGGGTCAAGATGTCAAAACTAGGTTTTAATGATGGTTTACGACAGTTACTAGTTACTTAAACCACCAAAACTTGTGACACCTACCCGGGAACATAAATCTCATACAGGGGTAAAGATTCTCAGTCTGGATTTGTATGGAATTTGACCTGGATTTCAGCTATTTTGGGATGGGCGTGTCCCCTGGGAGTGGCCTGAGTGGGTTGGGAGGTCGAAACTTGATTTTTCTGATGGTTTGGGACAGGTACTAACTATTCAAACCCCTAAACCTGTTCCAAATACCCCGGAACATAAATCCCATACAGCTAATTAGCTAGCTGAGCCATCTCGGCCGGTGAGCCATCTCGGCCGCCACAGGCAAAAAAAATCATTTTCAAAATCAAAATGGTTTTAAAAATCAAAATCAAAATGGTTTTCAAAATCAAAATCAATATCGTTTTCGAAATCAAAATCAATATCGTTTTCAAAATCAAAATCAATATCGTTTTAAAAATCAAAATCAATGACAAATTCATCAAGAAATGCTCAGTTAAGACAGATGGACAAGATCCATGGTTTGACTCAGAGTGCTATGATGCATGGCGCAAGAAAATAAGACTGCATAAAGATAGACATAAAAGCGATAGAGCCCAAATAGCGTTCTCCCTCGCCAGGAAAAACTTCAAAAATGTGGTTGCTCAAAAAATGCGAGAAACATTAAATAAATCAGATGATAGCGCTCTTGTAACAAAAAAATTCTAGTCATATGTAAAATCAAAAACAGCTAGTCAAAGAATTCCTGAGTTTGTAAGCTACAACGGCATTGTCCGCAACTGCCCAGAGGACCAGGCCAACTTATTTAATGGCTTTTTCTTCGAGCAGTTCTCTGAAGCATCATTATACGACATAGATATTGATTATTCAAACGATTGGCGCTTTGATATTGCATTTGACCACCAAAGGGTCCACAAAATCCTTTCCAATATTAACTCTAACAAAGCTTATGGGCCTGATGGTATTCATACTTACTTGGGTTATTTGGGGTTGCTTCATAGATCAGCTCTATCGGGTGATCAGAACGGCTGACCACCCGTGCAGCGAAGTTGCTGTCTTTTCTGCGCTCCAGTTCAATAACGAATTCCCGTTCTGGCAACAATATCCAGTAACAGGAGGTTCGTCCGGAATAAATGTAACAAACTCTGTCAACAATGACTTGAAGCGTAGGGGGTCCTCGATAAGGTGCAGGTTTGCGGGAATGATGTTCCGCAATCGAGGCCCCATCACTACAAATGAGCTGTCAAAGATCGATTGATTCCTTTGGCTACTGGACGTTGACAAGCTAGGGACTACTGCTTTCTGGCCATAACGGAGTGTATCTGTAAACTGAACGTTGACATCATTAGGACACTTCTTGTGTAGGATCTTCCACATATGAATGATAGTGTAACGTTCTCTCCTCCGTTGAAGTGACATCAATTTTAAGGCCTTCAGCCTCTGCCAATAGTTCAGATGTTGCACACCATGTATTTTGGACGTAAATGTACGTTGTACTCCCTCTAGCTCAGCGATATCAGCTTGCTTAGTTGAATTCCAGAGGGGACAACAGTACTCGAGATGGCTTCTGACTAATGACTTGTAGAGGGTCAGCATAGTGATCTTGTTTCTCGATCTAAAAGCGCTCAGAACCCAAGAGGCAACTTTACGGGCACGATCTGCTATCATAGTAACATGGGAGCTCCAAGACATGAGTCCGCCGAGATCAAAACCCCCAGGTCTTTGACTGCATCCGTAGGGTACATTATGTTACCATGCGAAACTTGATAAGTTTGTGTCAGGATGGCAAACGGGAGGTCTTGCAAGCTGTTTCGGGGACAGTGTTTGTGCACGAGTATCTCAAATTTATCCTCATGGAATGACATGTTATTGCATCTTGCCCAGTCGATGACAGAGTTGAGATCATTTTGCAGTATACTTGCATCTTCAAGTGTATAGATGTGCCTCAAAATCCGTGTATCGTCAGCAAAGAATCTAATGACACATCCTGTGATGCACAGCTTCATGTCATGAATGAACAAAATGAAAAGCAGCGGGCCCAAAACTGTACCCTGTGGCACTCCGCTTATGATTGCTGCAGCAAGTGACGACATCCCGTCCAACACAACACACTGTGTGCGGTCACTTAAGAAGGATTCGATCCACGACACCACCTTTTCGTGAATGGGAAACTTTTGAAAAACTTTGCTGTTGGGCTTGCATACCCATTATCACTATTATTTCATTCATGTTACAACATTGGGACATTACCTAGGGAGTGGAAACTGGGAAACGTTGTACCCATTATATTAAAGGTGATAAACATGAGGTTTCAAATTATAGGCCAATATCCCTTACATGCTTAATCACCAAAGTTCTTGAACGCATAATAAAAGATGAGTTACTTGCACTTACTAACTGCATGATCAACGATAAACAACACGGTTTTCGAGCTGAAAGATCATGTGCAACTAATCTTGTAGGTCTATGTGACAGCCTAGCTCTCTCACTGAATGAAAATATGAGAACAGATGTAGTCTACTTTGATTTTGCCAAAGCTTTTGACTCGGTTGATGATGATCTTATATTATTTAAGCTTAAGAGCAAATTTGGTATTGATGGGAGGCTACTAAAATTCATCACTGATTATCTAAGAGACAGGCAACAACAGGTCTTGATAAGTGGTAAGTTTTCTTCTGTGAGAAACGCCCAGTCTGGTGTACCACAAGGGTCAATTTTGGGACCATTGTTGTTCATTATGTTCATTGATGATATATCAGTGGGGATTTCACCAGGTACACAACTGTGACTGTATGCCGATGATACTAAAATTTGGCGTGTGATTGTTTCGGAGTCTGATATCCTGCGACTGCAGAAGGACATTGATTATCTCCATGACTGGTCACTTTCTAATAAAATGAGATTTCATCCCGACAAATGTAAGGTCCTCACCGTCGCAGGAAGGATATCCGAAACAGTTTCCCTCCTTAGTGTCCTACCACTCTTTAACTTTGTATACTCCATGGGAAGAATCGCACTTGACTATGTCGATCATGAAAAGGATCTGGGTGTTTTTGTGACCAAGAATCTCGACTGGCAAGACCAGTGCTCTAAAGTCCTTTCAAAGGCCAACCAAAGATTAGACATGGCAAGGAGAAATTGCTATTTTGTTCAAGATGAAAATCGTCGTAGAGTACTGTATCTCACTTTAATGAGAAGTCAATTTGAGCATTGCTCAGTTATATGGAGACCGGTCACAAAATCCCAGATAAGCAAGCTGGAGGGCCTCCAAAAGCGTGCTATTAAGAGGATTCTTCACGAGGAGTATATGAGTTATCCACCATCCACATACATTCAAAAATGCAGACAGCTTAAGATTATGCCCATAGAAGACCGCTTCGACTTTCTTGACCTTATTTTCTTCTTTAAAATTGTGAAGCAACATATACCTGTCACTTTACCCTCATATTTGCAACCATTTCAAGGCCACTCAAGGTTAAGAAATAGCCACATGGACCCCTTATGTTTTGTAAGCTCAATCTTACCACGAGCAAGCTCTAACGCTTTTGCTAAGAACTTTTACTTTAGGACCCATTCCAAATGGAATCATATTCCTCTAGCTATACGTGAGATAGAGACTATTTCTGAGTTCAAAAGCAAATTGACCTCCTACATGTGGGATAAAATTCTGCCGGAGGACTTTGATTATGATCTAGATTATTCCCTCGAGACAGAGATGTGATGCAGTCTACCTAAAAGCTAACAATATGTTCATAAGAGCCTAAATCCCTGTTGTCTGTATTTCTCATTTTAGTGCATATCATCACATCATGGATTTCACTTTATTATATGATTTGATTGCTTTTGATATTTTTGTGTGATTCTATTTGAAATTCTATTTAAAATTCAAGATTTCCGTGGGCCCATACTTGTGCGGAGGTGCTTTTTGCTCTCAACATCTGTGTTTTGGTGACCCTCAGGTCTTTGATTACATACATTTTGTCCTAGAAAATCTGATTTTATCGGAGTCTTATACTTTTGAGAATATTTAATGTTGTTCATTCATTGTGTAAATTTGTATGTAATTGATTGATTTGAAAGATTTCAATAAAAAAAACGTTTTTAAAATCAAAACCAATATCGTTTTTAAATGTTAAAATCAAAATCGTTTTCAAAATCAAAATCAAAATCGAAATCAAAATCAAAATCAAAATCAAAATTGAAATCAAAATTGAAATCAAATTCAAACTCAAAATCGATTTCAATTTCAATATGAAAATCGTTTTTTATTTAAATTTTAAAATCATGTTTCAAATCATATTCAAAATCGTTTTTATTTTGTGATATAATTGTATTATTAATTTTTTAATTCAAAATTTTCAGTGAACATTTTGGTGAGCCATCTCGGCCGCCATACACGTGTTGTCTCTTTACTTTTTTTCGTACTATAAGACTCTAGGTAGACGGTGCGGGACGCATCACGTGATCGAGTATCTCACGTGTGAGAGAAGCTCACCGTGCCAGGTAAGGTCAATCGGGGTTTTACTGTATCAGCTGTTGAGCTGTGGCAAAAAACTGGTCCTCGGGGCGTGGGTTCGTATCCCACCTGCATGGCCCCCAGATATAGAAAATAGTGTTTCTGGGGTTAAGTATTACTATTAGAGCTCTAGTCACGTATTATATTGTCTCCGATTTTGATAAATTTGGTACCAAAAGTTGCTTTTAAGTGTGAATAATGCAAATTCACCGTGCAGTATATAAGGGCGTATTAAGATACAATTTTCTTGTTATCGCTAACATTCTTTTATAGCGTAGCGTAGGAGAGATGAGATAGGATGAGTCAGAGTGATGATGTGGAAGAACGAGAAGAGCTACTGTCGGAGGTGCAACAATTAGATGGTGTCACTACATTGCACCAGACTGCTCAGAAGGGGGACATCAAGTTAGTAAATGATTGTCTGGTGGATGTACATATAGATGTTAAGGACAAACGCGGTAGGACACCCATTATGTACGCGGCATGGTCTGACGAAATAGAAATGGTTAAGCATCTATTAAATCTGGGATCTGACATTAGTTATAAAGATAGCAGTGGATGGAATATTTTACATCACGCAGTACAGAAAACCTCTATGAGAACCGTAAAATATCTTTGCGTCCGCGATGACTTTGATGTGAATGTTCAAGATAATACTGGAAGAACTACTTTAATGTATGCGGCAAAAGCAGGACAAACTGATATTATCGAAGCCCTCTTAACTGATGACCGGGTAGAAGTTAACCAGTGTACTAAGAACGGAACAACTGCATTGATGTTTGCGGCATATGCAGGACACACTGAGGTTATCACCGCCCTCATAACTGATGACCGGGTAGAAGTTAACCAGTGCAATGAGAACGGAACAACTGCATTGATATGTGCGGCAGAAGCAGGACACACTGATGTTATCACCGCCCTCATAACTGATGACCGGGTAGAAGTTAACCAGTGCAATGAGAACGGAACAACTGCATTGATATGTGCGGCAGAAGCAGGACACACTGATGTTATCACCGCCCTCATAACTGATGACCGGGTAGAAGTTGACCAGTGTACTAAGAGCGGATCAACTGCATTGATATGTGCGGCAAAAGCAGGACACACTGAGGTTATCACCGCCCTCATAACTGATGACCGGGTAGAAGTTAACCAGTGCAATGAGAACGGAACAACTGCATTGATATGTGCGGCAAAAGCAGGACACACTGAGGTTATCACCGCCCTCATAACTGATGACCGGGTAGAAGTTAACCGGTGTACTAAGAACGGAACAACTGCGTTGATTTCTGCGGCATATGCAGGACACACTGATGTTATCAAAGCCCTCCTAAGTGATGACAAGGTAAGAGTTAACCAGTGTACTAAGAACGGAACAACTGCGTTGATTTCTGCGGCAACAGCAGGACACACTGAGGTTATCACCGCCCTCATAACTGATAACCGGGTAGAAGTTAACCGGTGTACTAAGAACGGAACAACTGCGTTGATTTCTGCGGCAGAAGGAGGACACACTGAGGTTATCACCGCCCTCATAACTGATGACCGGGTAGAAGTTAACAGGTGTACTAAGACGGAACAACTGCGTTGATTTCTGCGGCAGAAGGAGGACACACTGAGGTTATCACCGCCCTCATAACTGATGACCGGGTAGAAGTTAACCGGTGTACTAAGAACGGAACAACTGCGTTGATTTCTGCGGCAACAGCAGGACACACTGAGGTTATCACCGCCCTCATAACTGATGACCGGGTAGAAGTTAACCAGTGTACTAAGAACGGATCAACTGCGTTGATGTATGCGGCATCTGCAGGACAAACTGAGGTTATCAAAGCCCTCATAACTGATGACCGGGTAGAAGTTAACCAGTGTACTAAGAACGGAAGAACTGCATTGATATGTGCGGCAGAAGGAGGACACACTGAGGTTATCACCGCCCTCATAACTGATGACCGGGTAGAAGTTAACCAGTGTACTAAGGACGAATCAACTGCGTTGATGTATGCGGCAGAAGGAGGACACACTGAGGTTATCACCGCCCTCATTACTGATGACCGGGTAGAAGTTAACCAGTGTACTAAGAACGGAAGAACTGCATTGATATGTGCGGCAGAAGGAGGACACACTGAGGTTATCACCGCCAGTGTGATGAGGACGGAAAAACTGCGTTGATGTATGCGGCATCTGCAGGACACACTGAGGTTATCACCGCCCTCATAACTGATGACCGGGTAGAAGTTAACCAGTGTACTAAGAACGGAAGAACTGCATTGATATTTGCGGCAAAAGCAGGACACACTGATGTTATCACCGCCCTTATAACTGATGACCGGGTAGAAGTTAACCAGTGTGACGAGGACGGAAAAACTGCTTTTTTTCTGGCGATGAAAGAAAGCGAATTTGAAGCAGCTTATATTTTAGTCGATAATGCGGACCAGCTTTTTTGTTCAATAGGAGACAATTTTGGATCAACTCACCTAATCCTGGCTCTTGAAGGAAAGCACACGAATTTGATGAAAGCAATTGTGAACAAAATGGGTATAAATAATGTGGAGGTGAACATGACTAATGCAAAAGGAACATCAATTCTTCATACTGGAGTTAACGAAAATGATATTGAGCTCGTGAATTTGATATGCCAAAATCCAAATGTAAAAAACGTCAAAAACATCGAAGATCTAACTCCAATAGACATTGCTGTTAAGGAAAAGCTTTACCCGATGTTATGGAATCTGGTGGAAAATTTGCCGCCAGAAGAAATAGATGTTAATAAGTCGTACAAAGAAGGGGACACACTGCTTCATTTCGCTGTAAAACAAGGCGAACTTGCTGCAGCTAGGCACATCTGCTCCCATCCTGATGTTAAATGCAAGGAAAACGACAGTGGCGTTAATCCGTTACAACTGGCGAATTCAGAGCTGAATTTGCCATTACGCTTCCTTTTGTGCATTTACAAACTTCCCGGCACCAAAGTCAAGTACCGTGATAATATAAATAATCAATACCAAGGAAAAGGAATTATTCATATTGCAGCGGAGCTTCGCGATCAGGAAGAATGTAACTATACTTACTAAAAGAATTCTCTAATATTGACGTAAACGCCAGGGACAGTGAAGATAGGACTGCGTTACACATAGCAGCAGCCAATAATGATGTGGATACCACAAAGGCCCTTTGCAAATTCCAATCCATTGACATCAACTTAGGATATCCTCTATTAGCAGCTATTAAGTACAAAAACGTGGATGTTGCAATTTTTTTGCTCTCCCTGCCAACAATCGATTTGGACGTAGAAGACAGCGCTGGTAATAACATTTTCGAGATAGTCTGTGATCTTATAGAAAGGAGTTCAACGGAGCAATTTGCCTGCATTACATCAACGGGATCTTCTAAACCATCAAAACGCCTCGAAAAAGCAATTTTAGCTGTAATATGTGAAGTGGATTATAATTCAACCCAAGAAAACACAAAAATTCGTGGCCCTTCACAAGAAACACGACAAGAAAAAATACCAGAAACTTTAAAATTCCTGCTCGAATTTAAAAGCCAGGAGAATCAGTCAATTCTGTCGCTGCTTCAGGACAAAATCACGGTTTTTTCAAGTTCTGATGATGAACAAGATGCAGCCAAATTCAAGATTGCATCAGCAATTCTTAACTTAATAATTGTCGGCTTACAGAAATATGCAGACGACGATGATCTTAGATATACTTTCTATAAAGAGTTTATGTACATACCCTTAGTTCGTATATTTGTCGATATGCAAGAAATTACCAAAAGTGATCATACTGCTTCTATCAAGGTAATGAAGCTTGTATATGTAACATTGCAAGCTAACGCAGACTGCCAGATATCAGAGAAGGAATTCCTTAGAAATGCCCTGCAGGGACAGCTTCACTCAAGGTTTAAGAGAACAATCAACATTTTAGGACAAACAGTGGACAGTGTTGAAAAATGTAATGACATTCAGCTCATGGCAATGAATATTTACGATACGTATTTCAAGAAGGAAAAAGGATGCTGTACTCAGGTGAGGAAATTCTTCAAAGGCTGGGAGATTTGGATGGCTGAAAAATTGGGGTTACACAAATGCAGTGAGAGAGGCATCACCACATTACTTTTTCCTATTCCAGGTGCACTAACTCATTTACTTGATTTTGCTCTGGATGTTAAAGTAGGGGTTGAATCTCTTCAAGGATTTTCACAAAGGCTGGGAGGATTCATGATTGCTTTGGTGATTTCTACTCTAATTCATGAAAATTATCGGTCTAGTGTTGAGCTCTACAAAGCGGAAATGGAGCGTCTCCGAATCAGTCTTGGCAGATTTGTATTGAACGAAAACGATTGGATTGAAAATTCGTCCCTGAACTACAGCGAAAAATATTGCAGGAAATTATTTTTGCAACTATGTTGTCCGTTCAAGATGAAAAAGGGTGAAAAGAAGAGAGCTCTACTATTTAACATCTTTACAATATGCCAGATGAGGCCAGTGGTTGACCGCCTGATGGTATTTATGCACTCCCCAACAAAGATTCGGACTGTAATCTGCCAGAATTCAGCACAGAAGTTACTGCACCAGTATTTCATGATTACAGAGCAGATACCAGAGTTGATTATACAATTTTATATTTTTCAGATATATTTCAATAACATCGCCACAGAATCCTTGTCGCTCAAAGATAGTAGCACTGCAGATATTGCATCACAACATTCGGGTAACAGCACTGCAAATAACGCTTCGCATTGTTTTGAGTGCATTGGCAAGTTGCACAATTTTACGTACGATTGTGAGTTTTTCGATGGACAAAAAAACTTTTTTGGAATCGAAACAAGTGCAAATTGGTATCTGATCATTTCGATGATTATCCCATTTCTTAAAATGCCAGCAAGTACAGTTTCACTTGAAGGGGCATTTAGAAAATTAGACCCACTCACCCCAAAGATGTCAGGCAGTGCCTCCACTCTGCTTTACCTAACTTATTTAATCATGATCCCTTCTAGACTGTTCCTCCATGCGGGTCTAATGCACGCCACTCCAAACCATTTCTACAATGTTGGATGGATTTTATTCTTTACTTTAATTTGGTTCTTCATTAACGCAAGGGTTATCTTCAAAGATTTCAAAGAAAGACAGCTCAGTCCCACAGCTATGGTCAGAAAGAGTTTTCTGCTCCTTTTGTTCAGCTTTAGAGATTTTTGGGTGATCTCTCTGCGGGATACAACAGCTTATATGTCCAAACCTTCTGAAGTATCGTACAAATCATTAAGAAGCTACAAGAGGGTCATGTTGATATCGACTTTTCATTTCCTTGAAGGAGTGGCGGGTGCTGTATTCATTGAGCACTTCTTTCCTTGCGGTACAAACTCTGATGTGTTCAAATACCAAGGATGGTTATGGCTCATTTTGTTCATCATTTCCTCAACATGCCTAGTTCTATTGGCATACACTCTACAGCCACAAATGTGTCACCTCATTCCCAAAAGATTCCCGATCAAATTTTTGTTCATCGGTAGCTTTGGGTTGATAATGTTGATGTATGCTTATATGGTAAAATCATTCATTGATGAGGATTTGGCAACTAAAATCACCGTCATCATCGTTCCAGTACTGTTTTTCATTGTCTGTGTTTTGGTTTATCTGGGTCTCAGATACTTTGGAGAGGCTAAGGATAAAAAGAAAGGAGAGGATGGCGGAGATTCAGAAACTGATTCCGAGGTAATGGTAGATACTGACCGAGAATTAGACACCCTTAGTGGAGAGGGAGAGTCTAGTCAACGTCTTTTAGATACCTTTGTTTGAGTCGCTCAATATAAAGAACCTTGTCTCTCTAAAACAAATCTTAATGATGTTCTGTAATTATTTTTAAAAAGGTTTCTTTTTTTCCGTGCTGATTTCTAAAAGTTGTGAATGATAGTTATTTTTTGAAAAGCTTCAAATATCCAAGGTTTTATTCCCATTATTGCCAAAAACTATTTAATTAACTTATATATTAGTAGTGGAAAGCATATTTAATTCGATTTTTACTATTACTTGATTTTGCAGTACTTTTCGTTGAGTAAGGTTTTTTAATGCTCAGCATATGTTTTATACTATAATCATTTATATCATGATCATGGACCAGTCTTTTATCTCTTTATTGCATTAAACTATGTACCTACTAATCTTCTATCTTTCGAATTCAAGCAGTTTTATTATAAATTTATTTTTAATTGTACGACTAATTGGATGCACCCAATTTTTGTCCACTTAAGAATGTCGTAAATAACTAAATATTTGGTATCTTCTTTCGTTATACCCCTGTTTCAATAAAATGAAAAAAATTGGGTGTTTCCAAATAAAACTCGAAACAAATAACCTAAGCATGTTTCTAAATGAAAATTCGTATATATCTACAATTTAAATGAAAAAAAATTATGCAGCAACATTGCATTAGCAGTAAAAAAGTTTTTACTGTTATTATATGACATGGTGTAATTAATCGATTTAATTGTCATCAGATAATTATGTTATATTTTAGCTATATATGTAACTACGAGTCCAAGAACGATAGATGCTGTTCTCTCTCTCTCTCTCTCTCTCTCTCTCTCTCTCTCTCTCTCTCTCTCTCTCTCTCTCTCTCTCTCTCTCTCTCTCTCTCTCTCTCTCTCTCTCTCTCTCTCTCTCTCTCTCTCTCTCGGTAAAATATTTGGTAGTGAAAATTTGTACAGTATTTCTGGCAGCTTACATTAATAGATTAATAACCAATAATATAATATCAGACGCGATCATCGATCGGGACATTCAGCCCACATAAAAAATGTAACTGTATTTCTTGTTGTCGCGGAAAAGGTCTTAAGAATATGTAATATAATGATAGAATTAAAAATGTTGGTCTCACTAAGGTTTAGGACATAACGCTCTAAATTTGCCCTCTTAGATCAGCAGAATACCGTTTGAGCCAAAGTAAATTCCATCATACTGTTCATGTTCAGGCTAAAAATAAACCGTGATTCATCTTTAGTTATTAAACTGACTTTCGTTTAGCCGTCCATTTTCATGCATGGCATGAACAATCAAGTTTGATTTTGTACGATTCAGGAATCCGATGGAAAAGTTATAATTAGATTTAGAATTAAACTTCCCTACTGTACAGTAATCGTGCATAACAAGGTGGGGTGACATTGTTTTATCA